ATTGTTTTAAGTGATAGTCGATCTCGATCTTATAGTTACTTAAATTGTTTCACCTTTTCGATACCATTATTTTCAATTTCTATACATTCCTTCTAATTTTTTTATAGTTCCATCACTTTTATTTTTTMTTGGTGTATTCTGATTTATAACTGATTCAGCATTTTGGTACTTTATGTATCCTTAGGACAAAAATCCATGACAAACAGCCCCGGAAAAAAAATCACCAGACTACAATATATAATATTTAACATGAAAATTATTGATTAATATTTTCTTTAACGCAATTAGTGTAATTACCACATCTTTAATGTTTAATTACAAATAAGTATTATATACTTTCAGTAAAGGTAGGTATACTTATCATTAAAAAAATAATATATAGATGTGTATATAATAAACCATCTTCAAACTCGATGGATGTCATCTGCGCGTCCTAACCTAACTTAACGAGATTTTGTAAAATCTAAAAGAAGCGATGAGTAAAAAAAGGTTGGGAAACACTGGTGTAGACTTTCAATATATTTTACTTGAAATCACGTATCAGATTCTGAGCAGAGAGATGTATGTATTGATTTTACAACGTGTTTTTTGTCTGTAATCACCTTAGGGACAGTAAAAGTGTTTCAATTTTTTTCAACAGTATCATTTCTGGTAAAAAAAACTGAATCTAGTCGGTAGGTACTTATGATGGAGTCAAAAGTAAAAAACACCCAATAGTTTTCAAAAGCATTAGGAAATACAATAAAAAGTTAAAGAAAAACAAGTTTTCAATAAAAACATTTTTTTAGTGTAGGACMTATACCTAACTCTAACAAATAACCGTAGACACCTGAAATTTTGACCGTATGTTTTTATTAGCACCATAATATTTTCAAAATATTTCAATTCTTTTTAATAAGATAAAATAATAAATTGATAAAAGAAAGTTTCATTTTTTTTATATTTTTATTTAGCTTCAGGCATAAATTAAGTCACGAGTTTTATTATTTTTTTTGATTTATTTTCAACAATAAATTTTTGGTTAGTTGTTAAAAAAACGTTGAACATCCACAATAGTTTTTATGGGTGTCTGAAGTTAAAATGTTGACAAAATTTATCAAAATCATGAAAATTGGCAATTTACMACTATTTCTATGTATAATATCTAAAATTGGTAATTTTAATACAAGATTCCCCTAGAGTTTTAATGATAAAATAAATTAATTTAACAATCATATCTTTAAATGTACTTAGTTATATTACAGGCACAGTTATCTAGTAGATAACCGTGATTTCATTACTATAGGCAAATAGACAGTCTTTGCTCAGAACTGTTTTTTGTATACTATGATTTATGATTTCAAACTAAATCCATCCATTACAGTGACTTTCTAGACACGTATGTACAGCAGAGAATTACCTACTTAGTGGTTTTTTTTCAATCATACGTCTAATAATTGCAARGTAGCCATTGTCAACATTTACATTGACCAACAAAATAGGATAGTAGGATACCTACTATGTATGGGCTATCCAGCATCCAGTGATAAAATGAGTCAATGAAGTATAGTTGATTTAAATGAGATAAATAATAACTCTTAAAATCAACATATTTAATTAATACAAATAAAAGTTTAAAAAAAACATAATCACATTTTAATAAAAGAACACTTGATAAATAATTGTAGGTATATTTTTATTTTAAAATATATAATAAATAAATGTACAATTTTAATTCATTATCTCTTGTTTAATTGGTAGTACTATTAGCCAGTGGTCAAGATGCTGATGTTTTTTAAGCGCTTCAACGTAGCTCCCCCCCAAAAAGTAGCTCGCTATACCTACATTAGGTTTATTATTGTAGTGTAAGTTAATTACTACAAATAAAGAAACGTTGCTACAATTATGCTAACTATAGCGCAGTGCTTTTCCTGACCAATGCTAGTAGTTTTAAGCAAAACAAAATTGTAAGAATTTTTACCATGACCTGTTAAAAGTTTATAGAAAGCAATAAACAAGCATCAGACATATTCTTTATTTAAAATAAATAAATAAAATGTATGTTTTATTGGAAGAAAAATATATAATACAAAATTGTTTATAAAAAGTTTTTTAAAAGATTGATAAATAAAATAATATAGAAAATTACATAAGTAAAATTAATGTAAAATGTAGACCTAGCTATCATATAATATGTTAAGCAATTGATTAATTGTAAAGGGTAAATAATATTAATTTTTACTTGAGGAGCATAGGAAGACAATTAAAGTCATAAGCATATAAAAAAAAACAATAATACTACCAAATTGATCGAATTTGGTAGTATTATTGTTTTTTTTTACTTGAGGAGCATAGGAAGACAATTAAAGTCATAAGCATATAAAAAAAAACAATAATACTACCAAATTGATCGAATTTCCAGCCCATTTTCTTACATATTCCTGTCACAAGATAAAATAAATAAATAAATATACATAATATAATAATTATAGGTATACTTTAATTAATTAAGTTGAAAACTATACTAAATTAATGTATTATATTGTTTTTAATTAAAATAGAAGAGAACAACAATTTTTTTTTTTTAAGATATTATTGATAAATGTATTAATTGATTTATATATTAAGTACAGAATATAACATACACATATAATTATTTATTCGTGTGTATTCATATTTAATATACATTTTGATATGTCTAATAAATTTATCTCAAATGATTGATTCAATTTAATTAATAATTTACATATGATTAATGACAATTTTAATATTTTTGTTTTACTGAATTCCAAAAAACTTACATGACATCATTTATTTTAACCCCAGTTAAAGTAGTTACCATTTCAGGTACTTTATTAACAATTTGAATAATTTCATTTGTTAATCTTACAGCCCCCACATCCCCATCACCACTGGCCACCATTGTAACCTTTTTGGTATTCTCAAAAGGGGCTGCAACTTCAGCAGCAAGCTAGAATAAAATTTTTAAAAAAATATAACTTTATATGAGTATAATAATGAATAATTTATGTGATATTAATTTATCAATGTATTATAAATCACCTTTGGTAATGTTTCAAGAACCATATTAATAATAGCAGCTTTTTTGTATTCTCTCCATGCTTCTGCTTTTTTCATCGCTTGTTCTGCATCAGCTTTGGCTTTTGCTTGGATGGCAAATGATTCTGCTTCACCTTTTAGCCTGAGTGATTCAGCTTCAGCTTCAGMTTCCAATATAATTCGAGTTCTATTTGCTTGAGCCAATTTCTCTAGCCTATTTTCATGAACAAATTTATGTCAATAAATTATTAAAACTATCCCAAGCCACCACGGAAATTGTGACACCACACATTGGTGAAACAAGGTTTGATTCCACCAACCATTTTTGTCAAGATTTTAAAATTATAAAAATATTGTGCACAAGCCATGAGTATTTTAAATCGTAATATTTGTATACTTATAACTTACATATAAATTTAAAAATTGTATAACTCCAACAAACAAACACAAATAATGTTCTTAACTTTAAGTTTGATAGTTAAAGATAAATTCACTCTAAAAATATTTTCTGTACTATTGCAATTATTTTATGTTTTATATGGAATATCAGTTCATAACTAGTACAGTTTGTTATGTTTCACATGTGTCGTAAGTCCGCTTTTTCAATTTCTTGAAGTTATAATTGCACAAGTCCCTCATGATTGTGAACATTATATTTTACTCATTAAGGTTAGGTTAGGTCATCTTTTACCTACATTGAATAATGAAAAAAATAAAAAATAAATAGTTGATATCATCATATTGAATCATAACCTTGTTCAACATGATCATAAACTCAACTGCACTGAAAAAGATTTTAAGTTAGGTATATAATTTGCCTGTGCATTTAACCACACCACACTGGTTCAGTCATATGGAAAATGCTATAATATTAAAGCTAAACTTACAAGATTGGTTTTGCTAAATGCACTATAGGAAATTGGTCAGAAAGATAAAACAAACAGTAGTGATATCCTCTTATCCTCTATAATCATTGAGTATTATTATTTATCTAACATATATAAAATTCAAAATTTAAGCTTATATTATTCCATATTATAAAGAGTAACAAATTAAGAACCAAAATAATTCATAGAACCTATAAAAACCCAATGAAACATTGATATACCATGTTTTGGGTAGTTAGTCATTTATATGGDCAGTGTCGCAGAAGCAATGCGAAAGCAATTCCAGCGGCATCATCGGTTAAAAAAAAAAAAAAATGCAATTAAGTTTTCTACATTATTACATTATACCCATAAAACACAATCATGTCAGTAAACACATCAAAAAGCATAGTTGGTTAGACACTGGCGATTTAACATGCCATTGTATTGCACATTGGTACAATTTTAGAAAAGTTTCTCTAAATAATTATTACGTTTGAACATTTTCAGAATTTAAATTAAAGAACACCACAACCAGTCTTACTAGTCTTAGATGAAAACAAACAAAATGTATAAATATTACAATACATCATTTTATGATTAATGTAATTTAATTTAAATTTAACTAAATCACATGTTATTATATAYTGGTTTGAGTAAAAATCAAAATTTAAACCACAGGCTATGTTTCTAAACAAAAATTACTATTCGCTAGTATCCATGGAGCTCCAAGCAAATATGATAAATTTTGTTCTAAAAAAACACAATTTAGGATTTTTACTCTATTCCATCATTACTGAGACTAAAAAACTGAAAAATCCATACTATGATTCCTACAAACTTTTCTCTAATAAAATATAAATATTTATGAATACTACACAATATAATGAACATTTTGTAAATTAGTGTCATTATATACCATACATTTTTAGGATATTTTGACATATAAAAAATGCTACTGTATTGAAAATTAAAATAAAAATATTAATATTTTATAGAATTTTCTAATTGATCATATATGGCCATTGACGACTATAATGATTTTTTTTAACAATATAAGAAAACTATATTACACTAAGAGTGAAATACTGTAAAAAATAGCACTGAAAAAAAAACCTAAAAAATCCTAAATTATCTCTTTTATACTAATTTATAATACAACTAAAATTTTTTAGTTCAAACATTATATTACCGAAATTTTTCAGCTTCTGCTGGTCTTCTTACAGTAGCTTCTAACTCACGTTCTCGTCTTTGAATTTCTTGTTCTTGGACAGCAATTTGTTGTGTTCTTTCCACAACATCAATTTGCATTTGTTCCTCTTTTATACGTTGCTTCGTTTTTGCAGMTTGAAGTTCAAAAGCCAACTCTGCTTCAGCTTTCTAAGATATTTAAATATTTGAGTATATAAACATTAGAAAACCAAATATATATTTTTATTTAATCAAGAGAACACAGTTCTTTCTTGTTAAGATTAGCTTATAGATCAAGATAAACCTGAAAAGGGGTTGTAATAACAATATCAATTTATCAATAAATAGCTTAAATGAACAGTATAACAAATATATTATATAATATTTATTTGAGTACATTTAGGTTTCATATAAATTAATTTTAAGCAAGGTTGGGAATTAGCAAGTTAATTTTAACKAAGTTATTTTTATTTTCTAATTAACTAGTAAAAAAAACTAAAATTAAAAGTAAATTAAACTTTAAGCTTAATTAAATGAGTTTAAAAAAATAGTTAAATTTTCCAGTCTTTATTTTAAGACTTTTAGGCGTAACTTAA